GCATTGTCCGCACTTCCACAATTCTCCGCCAACCCCTTTTCCGTAACCATTGTTCCTGGCGCCCTTGGTCGTCCCTTTGTACCGCTAGCTGGTGTACCACAGATCGTCGTTGCACTGGTTGGCCCAACGAGTCCATGGCGGCATAGCTGGTGCCAGGGGTGAGGAATGATGGCAGCAAGAGGCTGTTCGCAAGCGCCACCTGCGTACAGTAGGCTGAATGATGTCCAGGCGCCACCTGCAAAGGGTCGGCTGGATGACGAAGCCAAGGCTCGGTCGTGCAGCGCCGTTCTGAAGTTCGCAAGACCACGCTCGTAATCAATCTGGGCCAGATCGGGAAGGAGGAGGAGGAGGAGGAACAGGAGGAGGAGGAAAACGATGCAGTTCCTCCTCCTCCTCCTCCTCGCTCCTCGCTCCTCGCTCCTCCTCCTCGCCTCTGGCTCCTCGCCGCTCGTCCTCCTCGTCCTCCACCACCTCCTCGCTCCTCCCTCCTCGCTCCTCGCTCCTCGCTCCTCCTCCTCCTCCTCCTCCTCCTCCTCCTTGCTCCTCGCTCCTCGCTCCTTCTCCTCCTCCCCTCTTCCTCTTCCTCCTCCTCCTCCTCCTCGTCCGCGTCCTCGTCCTCCTCCTCCTCCTCCTCCTCCTTCTCCCCCTCCTCCCCCTCCTCCCCCATGGCGGGCGAGGTGAGGCAGCCCTTACTCAAGGAGGCAGCGCGGAACTTCGTAAAGTTCCTGCGCGCGTCGCCGGCACAAGAAAGGCGCCTCGGCTCGGCTCCGAGGAGGCTCCCGCTCCGACGCCCGGGAACGGAGGTGCCGCCCCAAACCCCGGTGGGGTATCACCATCTATACCCCGGCCCACGCGCCCCACCGCTAGCGAGCAACGCGGAACATGGAACAAATCGCGCGCGCAATCTCGACCAGGAGCCTGGCAGGCCAACTGCAGAAGGCGTCAGACGTGCCAGCATGCCAAATGCTTGCTCTTCCCAGCGGGACGTCAGACGCGCCAGCATTCCAAACATGTACCTTTCCAGGCGGGAGACGTTAGACGTGCAAGCGTGCCAAACACGTGTCTCCAGGCTCCGGCCACCAAAACATGCGGGCTGGCGCCTGGTGGGCAACCAAGCCGCTGACGGACACCACTGGGGTCCGGGAGGCGGCAAGGACGAGGAAGAGCAGGAGGAAGAGAAGGATAGAGGCTGCTGCTCGCTGCTTATGGAAGACGAGAGGGAACTCATAAGAGGAAGGTCACAGCTAAAAATATGCCGCAAGCACGACGCAAAAGTCGTGGACGAATCGCGCTTCAGGGCAATGGATGCCTGCCGATATGTGGATTCGCTAGCGGTTGCGGCCTTACACAAAAGACCGCTCCCCCCACGGGAGATTCCTGCCGCTGCTCGCGTAGCGGGAACGCGTTGCGCAAGCACCCAGGCCTCTGGCGTCGTATTCAGTTTGTTATTTTCCCTCCCTTCCTCTCTCTCGCTCTGCTTCTTGTTGTTGGGCACCGTGGACATAAACAACGATGGGGGATGATAAACTGGCGCCTGGGAAAGGGTTGATAACTCTGGAGGCCCTCAGGCAGGAACAAAAACATGACGTCGTACGTCTGGGAGCGCGTCATTGCGCGTCGGCGCCAGTGGCTCTGGTCAGCATGCCACAAAATACTAATCTGTCATTGTGACACTCCCAATCACATAAGGAGTCCAAGCCTGCTCATGACTAGACATAGCACGCTTGAAAAACGGAGTTTTGAAGGGCCTCTGGCCATTCTCTGGGGCTTCTTGAGGTCTCTTGAGCGCCTCTTGCGGCTTCTTGGGGTCTCTCGAAGGCGTCTTGAGAGCCTCTTGAGGGCCTCTTGGGGCCCGCCTTGAAGCCTCGGAAGCGCACCTCAAGCGAAAAAACTGGAAAGGCTAGAACTGCTCTTGGCTTGAAAAGATGTTACTTCCTCGGGCTCCTCCCCAGGAGTGTTTTGAGCATTTCTTGAGAACTCTTGGGAGCACATTTGGCCGTTTTGTGAGCATCTTGGGCTATATTGGAGCAGTCTTGGGCCGTCTCGGGGGCCTCCTGGACTGTCCTGACGGTTCTTCGGGCTCTCTGAAACTGTGCTCGAATGTTTTTTTGCCATCTCGGAAGGGCCCACGATCCCCGCCACCGGCATAGGGACCTAGTGTCTGCCCGTAAGGCCCCCAGTCCTGGACCCCGGGTGTATTTATATATCCACTGATCCACCACTCGGGCCAAAAGGTGGATAGCTACGCAAACATGCCGCCGACCCCCTGTGGTCTTCAAGGATGTGAGGTATACCCCCTTCCGTCGTACTCCCCCCCGCAAGACCCCAATCCGGCATGTGGACAGGTCGACGCCGTCTAAGAGTGCATGCGTCCACTCACCGAGTCAAACCTTTACAAGAGCACCTTGTACCAAACTTATACCAAACGGCAAGAAATGGAAAGAGGGTGATACGGACCCCCCACGCCCAAAAAGGCACGGGACGCCCGCAATCGCACAAACGCTCGGATTTCCACTTTGCGTGCAAACGCCTCCGCCCAATTTCGCATCCGACTTGAAACCTCACGGCGCGCAAACGCCCCAATGCCAAATTCAACGCACTGGGTCGGCGGATGCGGCGTGAGCCTGTAGATTCACGTCCGAAGGTGACGTGCTGAGCGGCGGCGTTTTCCAGCGAACGCTTAATGCAACGTATCCAATGTATACAATGCTTGCATAACTGCCACATATCGTATTGTGTTACATTATTCTGTCTCCCCCCTAACCCCTCCTGGAGTCGCGCCACATCCGTCGACCCTCACGTGACAGGCCCCTTCTGGGCCTCAAAGTCTACAAAAACCTCTGGAAAATCGATGATTTGGGCCCCCGGGGCCTCTTGGGGGTCCATGAGGGCGTCCAGGCGCCTCAAGATGGCCTCGAGACAGGCCAAGAAGACCCTAAGACGGTCCAAGATGGCCCCAAGAGGGCCCAGCAAGGACCGCGCGACGGCCCAAGAGGGCCCCAAGAGGACGCCCAAGAGCGCCTCCAGAAGCCCAAATCATAGATTTTCCCTTATGGTGTTTGCAATGTGTCAACGTTCTTACGTTTTTTTCGACTTTGAAACGCCCAGGACGGCCCAAGCAGCCTCCACAATGGCCCCATGACGGCCCACGAGGCCCCCAAGAGGGCCTCAAGACGGCCCAAGAGGGCCCGAAGGCGGCCCAATGAAAGCCCCAAGACGGTCCAAGAGGCCCCCAAGACAGCCCAAGAGGACCCCAGGAGGGCCCCAAGGCGGCCCCAAGACGGCCCACGACGCCGCCAAGAAGCCCCAAGAGGCCCCCAATACGCTCCGAAATGTCCCAGAGAAACCTTCCAAAAGCCCGCAGAAGTCCTCCGAATGAATCCCCAAACCTCCACGACTCCAGGACGGCCTCCAAGAGGGCCTCAAGACGGCCCAAGATGACCCGAAGACGGCCCAAGGAAAGCCCCAAGACGGTCCAAGAGGCCCCCAAAACGGCCCAAGAGGATCCCAAGAGGGCCCCAAGGCGGCCGCAAGACGGCCCACGACGCCGCCAAGAAGCCCCAAGAGGCCCCCAATACGCTTCGAAATGCCCTGGAGAAGCCTTCCAAAAGCCCGCAGAAGTCCCCCAAATGAACCCCCAAACCTCCACGACTCCAAGGCTGCGCGGCAGACCGCCGTAGAAGACGACAGGAGACGCCACCGCAGAGGACTACAGGAAGCGGCATGACATTGAAGCCAACCATTTCTTTCTTAAGAAAGCAACGCGGCATCAGCACCCTCGCGATCCCTGCGTCTGACGAGGACACAGTGCCCAGCGTGGCATCGGGCAGGCTCCGCGCGCAGCTGCTGGCGGCGACTTTGCGCTACGCGACAGGGCTCGGGCGCCCGAAACGGTACGCGCGCAGGGGGTCCAGCGAAAAGGGACCCAAGCGACGAAAAGGGACTCCACGACGAAAATGTACTACACAACGAAAAGGGACTCCAATGACGAAAAGGGACTCCCGCGACGACGCGAGGGACTCCCACGACGAACGGGGACTCCAACGACGAAAAGGGACTCACACGACGAAAGAGGACTCACACGACGAAAGGGGACTCCACGACGAAAGGGAACTCCAAGGACGAAACTGATCCCAAGCGACGTGAGGCCTTTGACACGAAGAAGCAACGACGTACATGAAATAAAAAGGGGAAGGGAAGAACTTACAACGACAAAAAAGGACTGAAGCAACACAAAGGGACGAATCGTTTCGTGGCCTGCCCCCTCCCTCACGATGACAGTGATTCGGCTCCCCGTCTCGGTCCGGAACAAAGGAAGAGGACGACGCGGAAGAAGAGGAGGCGGAGCCAAACTGATTGATCGTCGAATGGTTTTTGAAAGATGTTGGCGTTCTCGACTTAAGAGCGACTCTCAGAGGCCCCCGACCGTCCAAAGAGGCCGCCGAGACGGCCCAGGAGGACCCCTAGAGCCCCAGGGCGGCCCCGAGGCCACCAAGACGGCCTCCGCAGGAGCTGCACCGCGCGAGAGCGCCCCAGGAAGGCCCAAGACGCCCCCAAGAGGCCCCGAAGAAGCCCCAAGAAGCCCCCAAGAGACCCCCAAGAAGGCCCCAAGAGGCTCCAAGAGGTCCCACAGCTGGACTGTGCGTGGTCCTGACGAGCACCTCGCGAAGCGAAAGGAACCCACGTCCGGAAGTGACGGGTTAAGCAGCAGCGTTTTCTGCGGATGCTATAACGCAGCGTGTCCAATGTATCCAAATTTTGCGCTGAAAGGGTGGTGGCGCATCCGCCGCCCCTCTTGAAGATGACACGGCAGACCAGCGACGCAGACTCGCACGGCAAACCACCCGACGCCCAGTCGCTACGAGCTCCGGACGTGCACCCCGCGAAGCGAGAGGAATCCACTAGGCCTGCCGATTTGGGCGTCTGCTTTTTTTGTGAGGGAATTCCATGTGCAATTAATATGTTCATTGTTTTCCCTGCCCTCCAGCGTGCCGTTGATGTCAGAACATGGGCCCCCTCCTGAGGACGACAATCTCCAATAAATTGGTCTCAGCACACTCAACACAAATCAGCCTCGAGTTGCCAGAAATGCCGTTCCCCTCAACCAGATAATCACCGCTTCTGACTTCTGCATCTTCGTTGCGGTCATTCCACAGCTTGAAGAGCCCCTCGTGGGGAGACCCACATGTACCGATACCGCCACTCCCCGGACCTCTCCTGGGGTGCGTTCTGACCAGAAGTTCGAGGCGAACCCAGCGGTGGCGACGAGGGTCTCCCAAGAGGCTCAATTAGGGGAAAACGGGCGAAGGGTAGAGGTATGGGTACCCCTGAGATCCGATGTCGTGATTTTTTCACTACGGGGTCCCCAGAAGTCTCGACCCATTCCCCAGGACTGGGTTTTCATCCTGAGTCGTTTTTTGATGGTCCTGGGGCCCGGCGAGGGCCCCTAGGGCCCGAAAGTTGCGAAAAGCCTCTGTCTTGATTTTTTCAATACTTTGGATCTCTGGGACTCTTGCTTCCTCCGACCTCGCCCACTTCCTCAATCAGCACCGCGGAGCCGTCGTGGAAATCGACGGCGATGCCGAGCGCTGCCCCGCCGCTCCTGTCCTGCGTGACCCGGAACGTGGAGACGCCCGGCCAGCGCGCACCCGCCTCGGGCGCCAGGGGCACCTGGTCCGATGCAGCCGGCGTCGACTTCGTGGAGATCGACTCGCTCGGACGCAGGAGACAGGGGAGCAAAGAATGGCGTTGAAAGAAAAACTCGGAGGTCCGCGCGGATTGCTCGGATCGGCGCTGGAGCCCCCCGAGCGCCAGGGAGGGGTGCCCAGCGCCGATCCGAGAAATCCGCGCGGACCTCAGGGGCTTTATGTTTATGTCATTGTTTGCTCCCCTAGAAGAGGAGCCTCGCTCCCACACGTCTCGCATTCTTGCAGCGCGCTGTCGTCCGCCCTGGCCTCGGGGAGGTCCAGCAGCGCGAAGCACTCCGGGCACTGCCGGCTGCTGAATCGGACGCCCTCGCACCTCCTCTGGCCGAGGAGAGGAGCTTCAGAGACTGCATCGCCGCGGCTACGCCGACGTGAAGCTCGCAGCATCCTCGGCCACAGGTGTTCATGCCCCTCATGGCGTCAATCAGGCGCATCATCCTCGTCTCTCGCGGCGTCTCCTCGAACCCTGGCACCTGGCGTCGCGAGGTGTTTAGCGAGATCCGAATCTTTTTATTCTCGCGGCGGCTCCGCGGTACGCCTGCACGCCTGAGGGCCGCCGGCTCCCCGAGCTCCGGCATCTGCGGTGGACGAGCCGACTGCTCAGCCAATGTCTGCACGGCGACAGTCCTTGTCCGAGGATCCCGACGCCGCGCTGTGGTGGTCGTCTTGGAAGCTGCCCCACTTATTTCCATGCCGAGCTGAGTGCCGTGCCCGGACGAGGCCTCCTGCGAGCGGGGGGCGAGCGCGCCGCCGCCCCTGGACTCGTGCGCGGCTTCTGCGGCGCGAGCCTCGGCTCCCTGCCGATGCCCCGCGGGGGCCTCCGCGAGCCTCCTCGCCCACCTTCAAAAGGCACACGCTCACCGCGCTCTCGGTGGCTGCGCAGGGGACGAGCTTGGCCTCGACTTGGGCTGCAGGCGCCCCCGTTGGAGTGGGTCTCCTGCAGAAAGTCACAGGAATGGCGCAGGGAGGAGACGGGGTGGCTCGATGGTTGAACCTTCGCACAGTCGCCAGGATGCACAGCATCGAATACATTCGCACCCTGGATGAGCATGTCGAATTTTTCCATGAGAGCACTGCTGGGAGCATCGAAGATGCCTGCCTCTCGGCTCAGAGTGCAAAAGCCACTAGTGGCTTGGTCGAGCAAGAGCTGAGTCACAGCGGTAGAACTCCGTAGGCGATGAAAGCAAACGGACTGCTGCTACTCAACTGCGAACGCAACTGTAAGGATGCACAATGATAGACAAACATAAGCCCCAGTGCCACCTACAGAACCGATGTCGATGGCATACATTTCCTGGGACTTGCTCTGCGTCAACTTGGCAAGTCCTAAGAACAGGACTGGAACGATGGCGAGGGAGCGTAAACCTCCCAGATGTATCCAGTACGCAATCCCTAGAGTCCACCAAGGGTTATCAAGAGTCCAGACGCATACTAAGATATCGAGCCACAGTGAGTGGTAGGGAATGGCGACGAGGCATAGAATCGCCACAATGTTGGTGCAGACGGCGTACGCAATTGTGACGCCGCCGCCACCGCCAGGGTCTAACAGCGCCGACGACATCAACCACCATGGGACTACCACAGTCCCAGCCACAATGACAAACAAGACAACTACCTTGAAAGCCAAGCGGCGCTTCAATGAAAGAAGATACTCCCGGTTGGTGTTCAGATCCCATCAATGCCTCAGCGCCGGCGATGTCCGTCGCAGAAGTTCCTCGCAACGCTCGCGCAAGCTCGGCTGCAAAATTCACCGACCCCTTGGGGGTTGTCTGCCTGTGAGATCTTGGCCCCTCCCCGCAACCCCAAGACGGCTCGAGGTAGCCGGGGAGCTCTCACACCCTTCTTGTTCCAATGCTTTTGCTTTCTCAAAGTTTTGTGCATAAGGTGGCTCAGGGAACACGAAATAATGTCCTAAGAGGGCCGAAAAACGATCCAACATTGGACAAGACGGCCTCAACACGGTCCCAAGACGGCCTCCACACAGGCCCAAAGACGGCCAAAGAGAGCCCCAAGACGGTCGGGGCGGCGCCAAGACGGCCCAAGAGATCCCCCAAAGTCCCCAAGACGCGCGTAGACGGCCCAAGAAGCCCTCGAAAGCTCACTGGAGGCCCCCAGAAGGCCCCCAAGTTGGTTGAGCTTCCCACGCGGTCGCACAGCGAGGGGCCCCTGCAGTGAAAACGTATCTTGAGGGTGGGTGGCAAGGACGCAAGACACTTGGAGGCCGAAGTAAGTATTTTTGTACGTTGGAGGAGAAGGAGGAGGAGGAGAAGGAGGAGGAGGAGGAGGAGGAGGAGGAGTTGGAGCAGCAGGACCCTTGGAGGCAAGACTGTGCCCGTTGACTGTACTAACCAATGCACCCCCGAAGGAAGGCGCCCGGGCCCCAGAGGGGGTGGCGGTCTGGCGTAAGCCAACGGATATGGTGGGGGCATTGGATAAGGAAACCTTCGACAAGGAATCCAGGGTCTGGGAGCCAGTGGAAAGCCAATCGTGGGTTGGTCATGGATATCACCGCCGCCCTCATCAGATAAGGAACCCTCCTGGGTCTGAAGCCCCATTCCTTAACCAGTGCCCCCACAATATGGCTTCCAAGCAGAGCGTCGGAACTCATCAGCCCCAAATCTTGTTGCTGGCGCTCGGGCGCCCAAAGAACAGAAGGGGGACGCGTCTGCGGTGATTTGACATTGATCCAAAGCTTGAGCCGGAACTTTACGCCTAGCCGGCGGGGCGCGCCCGAAACAACATCGTTTGAGACAAAGTGTGTGTGTGTGTGCGCAACGAATCGAGCGACCCGCCTACGACAGAAATGACACCAACGCTCTCTGGCCTCCTGCTCACTCTTCTCCGCAACTGCGGGAGCCTGGTGTAAGTTAGAAGACCTAGGGTCCCCCAGGGCCCCCGTTACAACCGATGATTTATTCAGAGTAAACGAATGCATCAAGGCGACGCACAAGGGGGCCTTCAAACAATTCGATTTACTAAGTGATGTGCTTCGCGGACTCTCCGCTCCAGGAGCGATTTTTCTGTCCGTCGCACAAGCAGTGCCAATGCAGGCGCCGTAGATGCCATCCAATCCCACCAGTCCTTCGGGATATGGAGGTTTAGCGATACCTTTCTTGTCTTTACCCAAGAAGCCCTCTTCCCTTCGGGAGGTGTACCTCCCCCCCCTCTCCCTGAGGTCTTTTTGGGGAGGCTCGCGATCAGCTAGGGCAAGATGGCTCCAAGAGCCTCCGATGCTTCAAGATGGCCGCCCAGGCGGCTCAAGATAACCGAAGGTGGCTCATTACAGCTTCTGACATACCTCCAGGAGGCCCGACGAGGGCCACACCTTTTCTTTTCCCAAGAAAGTCCCCCCCTCTCCCTCAGGTTTTTGGGAGGGCCGCGATTAGTTAAGGCGTCCAAGATGGCTCCAAGAAGGCCTACGATGCTTCAAGATGGCCTCCCAGGCGGCTCAAGATAGCCGAAAGTGGCTCAAGATAGCTTCCGACATACCTCCAGGAGGCCCGACGAGGGCCACAAGACGGTTCCGAGTGCTCTCGGAGCCCCCTCAGGACCCCTCAAGAGGCCCAAATCCTTCAAACACCTACAGGGAAGCTGTCCCTTGTCACTGTTTCCGGCCTCCATGTAGCGAAGATCTACGATCTGTGCCTTCTCGCCGCCTCCTCCTCCTCCTCCTCCTCCTGCTCCTCCTCCTCCTCCTCCTCCTCCTCCTCCTCCTCCTCCTGCTCCTCCATCTTACTCCTCCTCCTCTCTGTGCCTTCTCGCCTTTTCGCCTCCGAAGCGCTTTGGGGGGCCATGGATCGCCCAACGATGGTCCAAGAGAGGCCCACGAGGGGCCCAAGAGGCCGCCCGGACGGCCCCCAGAGCGACAAAGAACGGCCCCAGAGCAGGCCGACAGGGCCCCAAGAAGCGATTTTGATGGCCCCAGGGGGAGGGGGACTAACCCGCAGGACCCCCTTCCCTCTTTGATCAATCCAAGATGGCCTCCAGGGCCCCCCGGGAGGGCCCCAGGAGGGCCCCAAGACCCCCCCCAAAAGAGCCCCAAGAGAACCCTGAGATCCCTTAAAAGAATCTCAAGAGGACTCCAAGATAAGACTTGGAGGGCTCTGTCCTCGTCCTCATTGTCCTCCTTCCCCTCCTCCTCCTCATCCTCCTCTTCCTCCTCCTCCGCCTTCTCCTCCTCGTTCTCGTCCTCGTCCTTGCCCTTATCGTCTTCCTCGTCCTTTTCCTCGTCTTCCTCGTCGTTGTCGTGGTGGTGGTGGTGGTGGTCGTCGTCGTCGTTGTCGTGGTCGTCGTCGACGTCGTCGTCGTCGTCTTCTTTCTCCTCCTCCTCCTCCTCCTCCTCCTCCTCGCAAGTACTCGGAAGACGTAACCCCTTACCTCCTCCTCCTCCTCCTCCTCCTCCTCCTCCTCCTCCTCTTCCTCCTCCTCCTCCCCTCGCCCCCACGCGGGCCCCAAGGATGGCCCGAAGAGGCTCTCCAAGGCCAACCCGCTTGCTCCCAGAGACCTCTTTGTTCACCCTGGTTGCCTGCTTTGCTTCACCACAGGTGTCTCTTCGTCCCTTTGCGCGTCAACTCTCATGGGCGGGATCTTTGCATGGGCTGGTGAGGATATTTTTTGGTCGGCGGCCGCGCGACAACGGTCTGGCGGCAACAGCGATGCCCGGGGCAACGGAACGCGGCAAATTACACGCGATGCGTGGAGTGCACACGTACTGAGCAAAATGCTCCGCATTAAGGCAAACGCACATAGGCGCCGGCCACTCCGAAGTGAAGCGGACAGCAGTGCGAGTGCAACGGAGAAAGTCGCCCTGTCGGCGCCAAGCTCCGAGCAGCTCTCCTAGCCGAAAGCGGGCAGGGAGAACCGAAACTACAACGCTGAAGGCTGAACCAATCAGCGCGAAGTCCGAACACCACCGCCGTACGCGGGGTCGGCGGAGAGACAGGGGCAGAATATCGGCAGGGACCTACAAAACACTCATTCCACGATCCACACCGCTGCCCGGGGGGGGGGGGCGGTGTGTCAGTCATCGTCTCCGAAACCAGTGACAGGCCACGGAAGCAACGATGAGAGGACACGCAGGCCCAAGAGCCGGTACACTGCCGCCTCGCGGATATCGGCCACGAATGTCGCCGAGGTGCGCTGCAGCCGCGACCGGGCAGAGGAACGGCAGGGACCTACAGAGTGCTCACTCCACGATCCACACCGCTGCACGGGGGGGGGCCGGTGTGTCGGTCATCGTATGCGAAACCAGTAACAGGCCAGGGAAGCAACGATGAGAGAGGACACGCAGGCCCAACGGCCAGTACACTGCAACCTCGCAGGTAACGGTCACGAATGTCGCCGAGGTTCGCACCAGCCGCGACCAGCTCATTGATCGCTTGAGCGCA